ATCTCAGGAGGTTGATGACCCGCTTGCACTGGACTTCGATGTTCACGATATGTGGTTGCCATCTTAGCTTCTCGTCGAAGATCATACCGAGAAACCTTGAGCGATCCGCATACCCGAGAGCTTCGTTCCCCATCCGGAGCTGAGGGGGATTATGTTCCCTCCTCAGTCTACAGAAGTGAACTGCCCTCGTCTTTTCGGCCGAAAAGGAGAAACCTATCCTCTCGGCATTGGCAACCATTTTGTCGATTGCGGTCTGCACTCTTCTTCCAACTTCTTCTAGATCGATACCATGTGCGTAAATAGCAGCATCGTCGACGTAGAGCGAGATCATCATTGGAGGCTCAATGCCATCGACGATACCGTTAACCGCAATCGAAAAGAGTGTAACCGACAGTACCGATCCTTGCGGGATCCCATTTCTTTGCTCTCTCTCCTTTCGGATAGCATACTTCCCAGCTTTACCCTAAACCACCGGTTGCTGAGGAAACTCCTAAGCAATTCCGGCAGTCTACCTCTCAGGCTGAATTCGTGACACCTCCGGAGGATGCCATACCTCCATGTCGTGTCGTATGCCATCTCGAGGTCGAAGAACACAGCCACACCATGTTCCCTATTCAGGAACGTGGTCTGCACCTCGTCCTCGAGAATTTTACCTGTAAAAATACAAAAAAACCTCACTTTTAATCTACTCCATAGGTTAACCTCCCTCTTATAATTCGAGTCGAGGTAGTGCGTGGCAAATTTCAAAATTACTTTAAACGAATATGAATCGTTAACAGAAGTACGATGTTTATATGTAACGTCTACTTTCTTTTACACACACACACACACACACACACACACACACACACACACACACATTCCAAATTACCAAATGAAACCACTTTTAAACAAAAGGTTATACTTTGGACGCACTACTTAGACGAGTTTTGGTTATTTTGTATATTCCATATGCTCGGCTAGATATACGATTGCCAAAAGTCTCATGGTGAATAAAACGGAGGGTGTTAGGAATGAAATTTAATTATGCCCACGGTTGGCTTAATTTGTGCCTGAGTGGTAAATCTTGAACGCCTTCGCCCTCCTTTAACCCGGGTTTGGAAGCCAATTTATTGCCCGAGTCAGAAACGGTACTGAATTCATTATGGTAGGTTTGTTGCAGGATTCAAAATTTGTAGATGTACCAATTAAAATGGAGAGTTCTCAAGCCGTTTAATTTATGCTATTTTCCCAGTTAAACTGTTCTGATTCTGCGAAATGTATACATGAATAACATAGATCTCGGTACGGACAGGATGAAAAAACAGATTCAATTGTTATTTGCCAAGTTTTTGATTTATTATAAGCAAATAAACAGAGCATTAATTACTTTAATTAGAAATTGTGATTACATATTTTTAATCGATACCAGGAAACGTGCACAGTAGCTGCATACGACTTATTGTAGTTTATTCCTGGCTACATTTTTTTATGTGTGGCGGAGGGATGTGAACCCCGATGTGCCGGTGTTCTTCCATCGAAGAAACTCATTTTTGAAGGGGGTTAGGGTCAAATTGATGGTCGCCGAGATCCTATCCCACCCACACCTTTCATTGATGAGTGTCGTGTTTATTTTCAATTGCGGCCTCCGGTCAGGCGTCAGAAAATAATTCTAGTCTTTTTAAAAAACAGTTCCGAAAAAGACAGATTTAATTGTGTTATAATTCCCGCTTTTCGCACGTAGATAATTGAGCGGCATTAAAAGTCAGCTTCTCATTGGATCGTTGCGTTGGCCGGGTGACCGGGGGTTCAGTCTTACAATTCATGTCAAGACGTGGTTGTGGAACTCGTTCAACCTGATGATGAGCTCTAAGATTGAAATCCGGCGCTGAAAACAACTAACTGTGAGTAGGAACTATCTTTTTTAAAAAATTGAACAATACACTCACTCCACCATTTATCATTTCTGTTAATTTGCTAGTCAAAGAGGTAATGAATTATAAGTCAATTAATAATTCTACCTCCACTTACTTAAAATCAGCCAGTAAACAAGATCTCTTATAGCTTTGTTATAAATTAAAACTTTCATGGTCAAAAAATCAACAAATCGATCTGGATCAATTCTCATTGTAAGAAATTAAACCTAACCCTAAAATTCATTCTTGCTAAATTAAATATTAAGAACTGTTCAACTCTTCTACAATGTCAATGCCAAAAAGCCACATTGAATAACGAAATTACATAAATTGTACAGTCAAAGAGATCCAAAAATGTTTTTCTCATTATCATTCAATTGTTTTTCTCATTATCTTGTACACATTAGGCTTGCCTTATTATTGTCTCCAGTAGAATGGTATAAATTCGACTATGATTCGCTATAATAATCAAAGTATATTAGATAAAAAAAATTAAAAACTTAAAGTACGGTACACTTAAAAATAAAAATACTCATAAATACCAAAAACCTCTAATTAAATCGTACCCAAAGGTTATAAACTTACAAACATGGAACTAAACAAATATGAAAACAATTTATAAAACAAAGGCCTAAAATTTGTCCCAAAAACAGAATTAGATTTAAAAAAACTACTACCTCTTGGTTCATTGGTAGTCTGTTGTAATATAAATACAAATGTGTGGTGATTAGTGACCGTTAATCGATAATTATTCAATTTATTAATTATTCAGAAATCGTGAGATGCGGTCTGGTGTGATGTAGGTTTTAGAAAAACATTGGGCACTCTCAACACGACACGCAGGAATGGCATAATTACACAGAAGACAAACACTTTGAGCCCTGAAGATGATCTCAATAAAGATCGAAACGTTGGCACGATAAAGAAAATGTTTTTCTGAAACCTACATCACACCAGACCGCATCTCACGATTTCTGAATAATTAATAAATACAAATATAAAATATAAATGAGCTGAAGTAATTAAACAAAACTTCGTACATCTAAACGTCAACAAATTAAATATCCCACTACA